TTTATGGCTCTGTAATCAGAGTCAAGTATATATATAGAGCCACCCCTTTGTGCATTTGAACCTTTAACACAGACTGTAGCATTGGGTTAAGATACCATATTGATAGTGGTCCAAATTTCAACATGTCTCGACTAAATATGTCTGATCACACTTGCCTAAGATTACACACTGATATGACATGACAGTAACTTGAACTTTCTTTCCCAGACCCCATTAGGTTAAAATATTCCTTTAAACTCTTCATCAACTTTATTTTGGTGTCTACTATTTGCATGGTAATAATATATGACTAAGTAGGTTGTCTTTGCAAACTTTGTTATACTGCTTCATGTGGCATTCAGAAAACTGGGGCACATTCAGGTTCACGTTTGTTGTTAGAAAACTATGGTAGATTGAGTTTGTTTGCTCGTCAATAATGCAAGATGCACGGAACCTTGAGGTTACATTGGCTTGCCCATAGTGAAGTGAAGAAAAAGTCAGAATAGTGTCAAAATGCATGCTGTCGTTTTGCACTTTTCTGGTTGATGCAATAGCCAAGTACAATGCAACTTATATATCTGTATACATAGATGACTTGTATAGTTTTTCTACCAAAAATGGTACTTTTGATCATTTTTTACACATTAAAGGGGCACCTTCCAGTTAAGATTAATTTTACAACAAATTTACTTTCTGGATTAAAATAACAATGGATAACAAAAGATAGATTAACATTGTAAACAACATAAACAATAGTGTCCCATGATTCTTTGGTGCAATCCAAGGGATTGAGCGGTTCCCCTTTAACAATGCTGTTCTCATTACAGTGGCCTTCATTAAGTAGGTCATGTGAGCATGTAAGAGAACTTCGTCACTTTTGGAATTCAGTACGATAGAAGAAGATAAATTGTGTTTCAAATAATGTCTAAATTTATCTTGCTAACCAATTCGTTGGACAGGCAACTTAAATTTTATTCTGCAAAGAATACCACATTTGGTGTATCCAGTAGTACCTGCACTTACGTAAAAAAAAAAAAAGTCATTTCAATATTCCAGTGTACAATGCAAATTTTTGGTTTGTGTGTGCTTCTGTTGAAAATGCACTTCTAATAAAGCAAATACAGAAATGTTAATATTCCTCATACAGATATTTTATGAGGTATGATGACCTGATTTATTAGGTGTTCAAGGGTAGTTAACCTCACACAGTAATGCTATCATTTGCACTTTACAGCCAATTGTTTGCAGATTTGTTTGCAACCTTTGAATGACTTTGCAATTGTCATTCTCTTTATGTCAATTTAACCTGACACAGTTTTCCAGATGCATTGATTTGAGTCTTTAATTATTTGGTATGCAGCATGATTATTATTCTTTCTGTCATTTAATTATAAAAAAACATTTTCTGTGTTGTAGTCAAATCTTTATTAGAAGAGGGGATGTAGCATATGAGAAATGGTGAATTTTTGGTTCTCACCTTTATTGCTGATGCACCTGTTCCTGTTCCTTTTTAGTCAGTGTTTGCAGACTTATGGATTGATCTCTGTGTGTGTGCGCGCGTCAAGATGGCCAAATGGCAGCCATTTTTATGCTGAAAAACGATGAAAATAAAGCATTTCTGGCATTCCGGAGCCGGATCTCGGCTGTTTACATATGGATTTTGTGCAAACTTGGTACATACATTGGTCATTATGGGACCTTGATGCACATCATTTTATTTTTCAGACTGTGCCATGAATGGCATCTGTTAGTTTTGTTACCCTTATTTTGTTCTTGTTGCATAACTGCTGTTCTCTACGGAGTGTTGTGTCTAATAAATATAATGATATACAAATGTAGTGTTCATATATATGCGATGAAGATGTACAATATGGTACACCATGGTCATATGTTTTGTGAATGAACTTTTAGGAATTCTTTTTAAATAAATTTTTTTCTGTGATTTGTTGTTACAGGCTGAAGTTGGAAAAAAACTTAAAGACAGAGAAGCAGAAATCATTGCCAGAATCAACAAAATTCACAGAATAGCTGATGCATAATTACATTTTTTTATTTAGAAAATGACTCAATCATGGCATTGAATTTCCATTGCAAAGATATTTCTTGTGTACATATTCATACAAACACAATATTTTTTGTTCTCTGAGGGAAAACAACACAGTAAAGATTTTATATTCAGATTTCATAATAATATCTGTTTCCATATTTATTGTGATACAAGTTGTGTAGAATGAGTTTTTTTTATGTATATTTATACCAAAAATATGTTGTTTAATATTCTTGGTACTTTGTGATTATATGTATGGACAGCAGTAGAGAAGGTTATATATTCACTGCATTTTATTCTCACTGACTTACCTCATATTATTCATGTATACAAAATATATGCACAAAATGTTTAGACAACCTTTCTCGTCTGGTTCACTTTTAATTCAGAAAAACTGTAATATACTACAATTCAAAATCTGTATATATGGCATGAATTCACTTGTACTATTTCTCCATACCTTGTAAATATCAGGATTTCAAATATTTTTGTTTATAAATGTGTTTTAGACATTAAAGATGATATTTCTACAAATCTTGTGTTTTTTCACCTAATTAAATTGTACAGCCACGATAAAGTTTATACACACTCCATGCCAGTGCACTTCTATGAAGTGTGGTTTAGACATTAAAGATATTTCTACAAATCTTGTGTTTTTTCACCTAATGAAATTGTACAGCCACGATAAAGTTTATACACACTCCATGCCAGTGCACTTCTATGAAGTGTGGTTTCGACATTAAAGATGATATTTCTACAAATATTGTGTTTTCTCACCTAATTACATTGCACTGCCCTGATGAAGTTTATACACACCCCATGCCAGCTACTTTGAATAGTGACTTGGGACAATGATTACCAAACAGTGTCTAGTATGTATTATATTATGCTCTAAATAGATGGAAATTATAGATGTTATTTACACCGTCCAGATTGTGCTATTGACATTTGCTTGAATGTGCAAATTCATTGGAGAGCTGAGCATCACCCTGGGTAGGGAGGTGCCCCTGAGTGCTTAATAGTGTGACCATTTTTATACCTGGATAGTGGCAAAATCTATACCCATATTTATACCAAAGTACCATTTCTGTCATCACTGTTTATTCCAAATAAATCAGTTACCGTATTTGCTCTATTAGAAGAGCATCTCCAATAGAAGCGCCTGTAAGCCAACAGGTTTCACTGAGGAATGTGCGCCCTCTTCTATTCCGTGTTAAATCTCCGTTTAAATGTTGATTGCCTTGTTTAATTTCCAGGTTGATGTATATATGGATCTGAGGTGGAATATTCGCTCATATACGGACCCAAAAGTATAGTACCAAATCGGAAAAATATTACCGATATTTATACCTATCTTGACCAGAAATAAGACCGATACTTATATTTAAAATAAAAAAACTAGACCAATTAGAGAGGCACGTCCCCATTAGTCAAGTTTAATGTATTGCCGCGACCCCCCCCCCCCACCCCCGAGCATCACCGTGAGGGATACGTTAGGCTGGAAGTAAAACTACAACGGTAGAAATGTGGTCAGCGAATGTTAGATTTTACACTCAATTTCAATCGTTTATGTACATTATTGTTCTGAAGTTGATTGGCCATCAAATACAATTTTTTTTTTCTTTCCTTTTTTTCTTCTTTTCTTTATTCAAATGTCTTTGATTGTCTTGTGTGTGTTTTTTTTGCTATCTTTTTGTGTTACTTTATTGTATTTTCAACTAAGATCCCACTCTGGGATACGGTTTCAATAAAGATTTTTATTATTACAAACGAATTTAGGAACCTAGAGCCCGTAGATGCAATTACAGAAAATGATGATCGTGGGATCCGGGGATTTACACTGTACACCTACCAATGTATTCGTGAGGTTAAATTCAGTGGAAAATTAGATTTTAGTTGAAGGTTTTGTTTAATGAACTTATAGACATATTGCATGGAAATGTTGCCGTTGCTCTATACGACGCTGTTTTTATGAATTGTAAGTGTCCAACGACACTCTTGAGGGACTCTGGTTACACTAATAGTCGCTTCTAAGTATGAAATCCAGACGAATACATAAAAACAAAGACCTAATGACGGCGTTATGTATTTGTATATATTAATAGCGACTGTATGTGTAACCATGGTTACTAAATCGTGGTGTAACCATGGAGCTAAAAAGCACAGTCCTTCTATCACGGGCCATGGTGTAACGGAAACGTTCATTGCAAAACTACAGCTGCTATTTCATTGTTTTTTGGTTTATTGATTATGTGTCCGTGAAACATTCCTAAGAAATGTCACGTAGAGCGCGGAGATAACCAATCTCATAGTGCGCCACTCAGTCTACATGGCACGTGTTAGAACGTTTTGTTGACTGTGTCGCAGCTCTATTGAAATCTATTTCTTACAATGTAAACTCGGCATTTGTAAACGTTATGATCTAACATTGGTAGACAAAAGACTGTCACTTCTATCCTAATAGATCAATATTGATGGACACACACTTAGCCATCCTATCGAACACTTACACCATATTACTCTCATCTCCAAAGTGCACGTTGAGTAAACTGATTGTTAGATAGTATTTGGTTTAATCCCACAGGTCCGTGTTAGAAGGAAGATGGGTTCACCAAACATCATACAATCGGCCACATGACCTCTCACCTTGACGAATCGCCCATATAATGTGATCGGTGTGCCTCACGAGTTCTTTCACTTCAAACACTCGGTGTGGAGTACGACGTAGGCGCTTCTCTATGCAATCCCACTACTTTGCAAACCGATGAGTTGTTGCTATTTATTTGGTCGATATCCCCAAAATTTGACTGCATCATTTTGCTCCCAAAGATGATTCGGCTCCGGCTCCATGTATTTATCTTATATTTACTCATTCTGTGTGATTATACATCTGGAATCAGTGGGCATGCGTTGCCGGCAACTAGGGTGAGTACACACCGCACCATTTTTAGAAACAGTTATATATAGATTTAATCAAAAATCGCACCTTCGCGCAAAATTATTTTCGGGTGATATATTTCTCTTCAATTAGATTTATTAAAGTTACTTTTGGATTCCAACCACGTTTGCAGAACAACTTTGAACGTTTCAAACCTGATGTTTTCTAATAACACATTGGACATTGTCCCAATATGATATATCATTAACCCTTCTGGAGCCACGATTTTGAGCACGGAGTTGTTTTTTTCAATGTTCGGCGATGTTCGAGCTATTCCCGGGCATGTTTGTGCATGGGAGTACCTCGAAGAAAAATGAAGGCGGTCAAAATCTGTGTGAGCATCTTCCTACCATTATAATGCGCTATTCCAGCGTCAACCACGCCCAGTTGAACTCTGCACATGCGTCCTTGTATCTGTTAGTGAATTTGTTATGAACTTGATCAGTGGATTTGGTCTCCCCATTGTGGCACATTCACGTCCATTTTTAGTGTTCAGCTCTCAGGCTGTACCTGGACTTGGGATCTTTCGATAATGTGACCTGCGACAAAACCTTTCTTTAATTTTTATAAATATTTATTAATTTTACAATTGAAACTGAAACGAGAGGTTTTTATTGGATGGTGGAATAACATTAGATACTCGTACAGTATATCCAAATTACGTCATTGCAAACTCAGTGGCTCGTCAGTTCGCTGGTTGGATTTAACCATGACTGCTATTGTTATTTAAAAAAATGGAAGAAATAGCCCAGGGTTGTTGTGTCGCTAGTTAAAAATAAATGTATTGACATGTTGTTTTAAATTGAGCCTGGTGGCACCCCGGGACACCTGGAACCTTGAGTGTCTGCATTCACTTTAATCTCAAACAAGGCTGTCTGTGTCACCGTGGTTCATACAGCGGACATACACGTACTATTGGTCTAAACTTGGCCGATGAAGGGACAGTTTGTAATATGTTAATGGATTTTACAAATATGTCCATCTTCTAAACCATATATATATATATATATATATATATATATATATATAGATAGATAGATAGATAGATAGATAGATAGATAGATAGATAGATAGATAGATAGATAGATAGATAGATAGATAGATTTATCCTATAATAGAATATTTTTGCATGTTGATAACACCGTTTTATTACATTTGATTTAGACTCGACATCTACTATCGGGAATCCCAGGGATTCAGGGATTGGGATTCAAATTTTACCGTGACATCTTACTAGTTTCACGATTTGCAAGTTATTATTATATGATATTGTTTATGAGATTATACCCAGTGTGTATATCTCATAAATGCGTTACTCAATCCATAGTTATTATTCTGAATACTTTGTAGAAATGTGGTCAAAACCAAAGTACGCGATATTAAGAACAACAAATATTTTAGATTTTAGATATCAAAAGTAGGAACCAACCTTAGCGTAATTTTACCAGCAAGCTTCACATTTTCAAAGTCCGACAAGCATAAGCCAAAATGTAAAGACATTTTTAAAACGAACTTTGATGAACTAAGATCATATGATTGATACGATTGATATGCTACTTCTTTTTCTGATTCCGATACACGTTTTCAGTAATTTCTATAGTTAACAATATATATAATTCATCAACATGTCGGCTTCCGTGTTTTTTCGAGAGTCTCGATTTCAATGAAAATCATTCCAAATAAATATAAATAATAAATGCGGATTTTAATAGTACCTAATATCTAGAACTCCCTCCTTAATTTATTCATTTTTATATTATTCTCCAGATAATTGCCGCACATTAGAATTGTGTAACGTCATGATTGCGCTTTAATTAGATTCAATAATTGTATTCAATTAATGCAACTACAGAGGGAGAACAAACATCTCATGGAGTTCAACAGCCCGCCTTTTGTGTGAATTCAACATCGTCGTGTGTTATCGTACATTGGTATTACCTTAAGATGACTCTTGACCCAACTTCATTGTGACCTACTTGTTCCTACTTGTATTGTTAGTATCGAGGACTCTTCTAGGATATAAAGTCCGAGGCAGAGGACTTTATAGCCATAGTAGTCCGAGTACGAGGATTTTAACTGATTCAAAATCTACCACTCAAACCATCTATATATGAATTTGGGGAAAGTGTTGGAGACATTCAGTGAGTACAGAATTTGTAGCTATTGTTCTCATGCTAAATTTGTGACAGGTGGACCTCTACACTGGAGAACTACATAATGGTCAACTTATCATATTCATGATCTAACTCAAACATCATGTAGCGCAAACTCCATTGACATACTCGGAAATAAGGCATGTACATTTAGCATATATAAAATCCTCCAATCGTCGGGAAACACTAGGTACATATAATATTTAACTCAACACTAACAAATAATTTTCAATATAAAAATACCTGTAAATGTATGTGAATGAGTAGAAATACAAAATGGCGTATAAAGTATACATTACAGTCACCAAACAGCGCGCGGCTGTTTAGCGATCACGCTAAAAACATTGAAAACTAACCCTTTTGTTTACAAAACAAAAAAAGAAGTCTTTGTCAGTCTACATTCCAAGTGTTTACGCATCATTCAGGCCGAAATTAGAACAGTTGAAGTCATTGCGTATGCTCATATGTGTTTAGAAATATTTTTAATGTACAATTTATTATTTCTGTTATGTGGATTGTTTTGCTTTACAAATTGAAATGTATTTCATACTTTAACCACGGTGTCACGGTGTCACCCAATTCATACATGACAACAACAGCAGCATTGGACACAGTATTTAGTCAACAGAATGTCATGATAATTTTCAACACCAAAACTTTAATGCAACATTTATACATTTTTATGTATCTTTTTTTTTTTATAAATTTAGATCAAATGTCCACTAGAATTGTCCATTGCCCGGCCCGGATAGGCCTTTTTATTTATTTCAAATCAAGGGCTCACCGATAGAAGTACACACATAGGAATAGATCAACTAGAAGTAGCAAAACACATGTCTGAAATTACAAATAATTATGAAAAGTTGGTTCAATAGGTATTTAAAAATAACACACATGATTTTTTTTAGTTCAACTGCATCAATGAGGAATTGTTAAAAATGCTATCTGTTTTTTTTTTTACAAAGTTCAACATTGTAGCCCTGGCTAGTGTTCCCAAAAGAAAAATTAATAGTTCATTAATAAAAACAACTTGAAAAACACTTGTGTTTATTCTGTAAAAGATGACACAAGTTATGTTCGAGTTCAAAGGGCTTTATTAAAACACAGCGGACACGCCTTAGTTTTCTTGGAAAAATGTATATTCTCTGTTTACAGACTTATGATAAAGAAAATACAGCCGAGCATGTACCTGGTAAATCCAAGTCCATTGTAACTGAGGACCAAGCATGGGATTTTCTTGGAATTGAGCGTGAGTGTTATATTTAGATGTTTTTATTGTTTTTTAGTCTTGTTTCTCGAAAGGTTGCACGAAAATATAGAAAAGTTCTCCATTGTTCATAGTGTAGTATACTACCCGGTCGTAATTTCACGCATACAAGAATACTGGTAAAATTGCTGATTTTAATATAATCCATTTGAAGCAAATCAGAAGAATCGTGGGGTTGTCCTTTTCTAAAACTAGGGCACCACAATCATTCTCTCACATTCATTCTCATGGTAATTATCTACGCAGGATGTTCAACTGGACTTGGGCGTAAATGTTTCTTTCAAAGAAACGAGCAGTACAACATGTGCTTCTCTGGTATTGATGCCATATGTGACGGTGTACTGGACTGCCAATGTGACGAAAATGACGAGTTTTGTTTGACAGACGAAAACCATGGAATATGTGATTGGATAGATATCGTCGGTAGTTTGATGAAACAAGGTACATTTGTACTTTTTGTAACCGCTTATACTGACGCTGGCGGCGCCCACTCCGTCCGGTTTCGAAGTGTGCTTACTACCTTGCCCTTTAATGTAAACACTCAGAATGTATTCAGTTTGCAATTAGTTGTATTCCCGGCCATTTATGGATGTTGACTTCAAACTGTTTCGGATCACCATGGAGTTTGTTTAAGAAAATGGTGGTAATATGACTGCCATCAGTTATTTGTGTATTGGAACGTGTTCACTATTTGTTTCTTTGGCGGAGATATTACGCCTTGTCTCAAATTGTTTGTCCACTTAAATTTTATATCGCGACAGATGGGGTAGATAAAATAAACTAATACATGTACTCGGTCAGGAATGCTGACTCAAGAAGTGAACGTATTTATGACACAAATTGGCGGTAATATTTGGCCGATATTCAAATTTGGCGTCTAAAATAGTTTGTTAGAGCGACATACTCTTCTTTAAACCACAGTCCCTGTGTCGTGTGACAACTAAAAGAAGTTGTCTGTGGAGCAATATAACATTACTTGTTGTGCTTACAGGACTGCCTCGTTTTGGATATGGAAAAAGTGACAGCTTCGTCTTTAATTTCTTCTGGATTGCTGGATTCGAAGAGTGTAAGTTAGTTCAATGATTGTGTGTAAATGGCTGTGAACGTCGTTGAGAAACGTTTAAACATAAATGTAATAATAACCATTAAATAAATAAATAAATACGTTTGTTCATTTAAACAGTTTGCTCGGCCGATGAAAAGGAAGTGACAGGATTCCGTTGCCATAGTGACCCGACAGTGTGTATTACCCCTGATGAGATGTGTGATGGCGCATTCCAGTGCCAACGAGCGTGTGACAAACTATTACGAAGTCCACTAGATTGTCCAAGCGATGAAGGCCATGCTATGTGTGAAATAAAAAATACGTTTGACGAGTTTTTCAACAAAGGTACTATTTTACCATTTCTAAATTATTATTATTAGTTATTACTTGTGTATAATACTGATTGTCGTATTGTTTAAATTTGTTAGTGATAATACTTATACTAGTTTTATAAAGTACTCCACTATAGTAGTTTACCCTGTGACCCTTGCGTCGAATCATAAACTGTGAGTGAGCGTCCGACGTCATCTTCGTAGCTGTTTTGTGACTGTAAGGGGTCACTCACTTCAAAACCCGAGGATTCGCATTTTTCCCAGGTGATTAACCTTATACTATATAGGAGGAGTCTATAGTTTAATATTATACAGTCATTATGCATGTGTTTTTTTCATTATATTCGTCTTCCAGTGACCTCAACATCGGCGTCAGCTAACGTGTATGAAGATGAGACTAATACGGAAACTACTGCTCCTAGTGCATCTTCGTTACTCCTACACCTCAACACGACAACTGCACCTGCCATGGGTCCACATTTCCCGAAGATTGTAGATCCCAAGAAAAACAAATATGAGCAGATATCACGATACTGAAAAATATATGAAAATGACACTATGTGCAATAAATAATTTACAAATAATAATTATGCCATAAAGTTCGTGGAAATATTAAACTACTATAAGTGCGTTTTCAAATTATTTAAGTTTGACAAAATTTGAAAGGTATTTCGTTTGGAGGGGGTAATTTCGTCCAGGAGGCAAACATCAACAATTTTTAATTGTCGTAGTTGCAAAAAAAATTTTTTTTTGCGTTTTCAGTCCATCATTCTACTTTCGTGTACGTGAGGGTGGGGTGATCCTACATCGAATACCTTGCGTTTTTGAGGAACTTTGGTCATTTGAGAACACTCCTAATTGTGCCATTTTCCACACAAATCCGAATTTAACGCAGAATTTAATTTCTTGTTTATACTATTTATAGTGACCAATATACGCAGGGGCGGATCTAGGATTCTGGAATAGGGAGGGCCGATAAGTTGGCCGAAGGCCAAGTTCGCGAGCGCCGACGGCGCGAAGCCCTGTTGGTTGTTAAAAATAGGGGGGCCGCGACCCCCCTCGGCCCCCTCTAAATCCGCTCATGATACGGAACGTTAAAACGTGAGAATGACCTAAAGTTCCCAGACGTCTTGCAACATGCATGTACACTGAGAAAGTTATGCAGTAATGGCGGAAACAAATAAATTTGATTGTTGGTGTATTGTTATTGAATATAGTCAAATAATATTCTAACTTCAAGAAAAAAATGAACGCAAAAGAAAAAATAATAATAATTATAATGAAATGTAAGTTAGGATGCTCTAATCAAGTTTTTCACTCCACCAAGTTTTCATGAATATTCACTGTTTGTAGATTTATTTGATATTGCTCAAACTATCCATGGCCATCTTGTGGTAAACTTGTCATTCTACGACCAAATATCACCAAACTGTTTTGTTGTCGTGATACATACAGCTCAATTCCACACAGAAGCAGAGTTTTAGACTTTTTCTTCAACATTTTTGCTCAATTTGTTTACGAACAAACTAATTAAAAGTTGTTACATAGTTCATTCCAAATTGTATTCCAATTCAGTAATCGTTTATCCACAGTCAAATAAACCCAAATTGTGGATGTGAATGTCAATCAGTGGGGTTTCGTGCTTTTCATGTTTATGATTACCCTAGCTATGAACAATGCATGTTTAAGCTTTTACATTTCCAAACAAAAAATGAAAATGATATTGACAAAAAAAAAAAAAACAGATTCATAGAAAGTACCATCTTGATTATAAAAAAGTGCTTTGAATTCCAGTGTACTAGTGTGGGGAATCGCGATTATAATACAAAAATGAAATGCTTACATAATAATTATAACTGTATGCAAGTCTGATATAATATATATTTACATGACAATAAGACAAAACCGGGCCCTACAACTAAAAACAACAACAACAACAACAAACGCAGGTATTAAAAGGCCATTGTTGATCCGTATACCATCCAACATTGGTGGAGGTTCCCCTCAATAAGTTGTAAATAATGGAGGCAAGATCGAGAAAATTTAAAAATGCCAGATTTCACGCAAGTAAAACGCCATAGTTCACAATGATCGATATATCAGCATTCTATCGTGCGAAACAAACCCAGAAACCAGCATGGGGGAAACCGAAACAACATTCCCAGCTTCTGATCACAAGTAGGACACGTTCTCACGCTGTGACAATGACGTCACTGTGGAGGACAGCAACAAAAACTATATCCGGCCATGTAAACAGCTTGCCTTTCACACATATGGTATAGTGTGCCTATGTCTAGTGTCTAGATTCATTTGGCAACGTGTCTATAAATTTATCACGTGATCAAAACACAATCTTTCTCCATTCTTGTTTTTGTCGATGAGTAAAATGAAAGCTATCATATTATAAAAAAACATATACTGTCTTTTAAGATTTATGCAAAAACATACCGAAAATGTTTACACATGACTTGGAAGTGTGGAAACTGTTTCAATCTGGAGGCCCAATTCAGTCGCCATGGGCGTTTGTTTATTGGATGCGTGGTTATGCTAATGAGTGTTGTTAATCACTCCGTTAGAACCTTCCATACTTAGCCGATGTTTGCAGAAAACCTCGTAGTTTATTTACAAGCCAATAACAATAATACCCAGGAGTGCTAATGTGTATAGAGATCCAGTCAGAAAAACATACTACAGAACTTGTTTTATGGTTGCATAAACAAAAAAACAAAAAAATAAGAACAAATAAAAATTAAACTAAAAAGATTAAACTAAAAACTACGTATAAACAAAAATGTATTACTTAAAGGACGAATAAAAGCTACTATAAGGCACTGATACAACTTAGTTTGGTGGAGCTGTTATATGTATAATTCATCTCTGGTTTTTCATACCTGATTGGGTAAATTGTGCATCATCGATAGAGCATCGATATGCACGCATGCTCGCTACAGTAAACAATAAGCCCGTATTTCTATGTTACTTTTTACCTCCATGCTAACAGCATTTTCCGACTTTCTCTAACACAGGGCGGCAAATTGTACTCATAATATCTCACGTACAATGAGGATTACGTGCGCTAGCTATGCAAGGTGTGAATATTTCGGCAAGTGTTGAAATACTCTCATTTCTGTCCTCTACGTGTTTCAGTCAATATCCGTAAAATAACTACTAGTATTAGTGTTACTGAAACACGGGAAGTGTCATCCGCGCATTGTTTATCCATTCAGATCGGGAGATAGAGGGACTGTGCTCAATGGTTACGGACTGTAGTTACATATAGGAATCGGAAGGAATCACCACTTTGAATAATTCAACAACGATGCGGGGTTAGATCACTACGTACACACACTCTGAGCATAATAGTAAACACTACTAAACTCAGTATTAGTTTCATCATGGAACTATAATTTTATAGTTCCATGGTTTCATTAAAAAGAACTAGAGGTATTTCTGGCTGGTACTAAATGTAGCGACTTTTTATATTTGCGACTACGATCTTCGTTGAATTCGCTATGTGATAATGAGAAACGCATTAGGAACTCAGTGTAAATGTTTGTGAAGATTACATGACGCGCCCTGCTTTAGCGATTCAACGTCACGTGACATCAGTTAATTATTCAAGCTTAGCAGCACGTCTTTTAACTGGTTTGTCAGTTTTTACTGTTATTCTTCAAAATCTCAACTCATACACTATTTATTGCCATAAATATAGCATATAATCACTGTTGTGATAATCGTAGTCACATACACCCACTGTGGAACGACATAATCGACCAGTATGTTGATGCACAGTCCCTCAACACCTTGAGGAACTGTGTTGAGGGACTGTGGCCTTGCGACAGTGCTGTGCTGTGTGTACAGGGACGCGTTGGTTGATACATGTAGATGTCCCCCAGCACTGTACACAGGGCTAGCCAGAGCTTGGCTGGAGCCGTTTACTACTTGTAAAGACGAGACTTGTAAAGAAATAATCTATGTTGTGTAGAAACATATTTATAGTATACATGGGCCTTTAAAATAAGATTCCAGTAGTTCAGGCTTTTTAACATGTTTTTAATTATTTATTTTTATCATACATTTTATTTTATTTTATTTTATTTTATTTTATTTTATTTTATTTTATTTTATTTTATTTTATTTTATTTTATTTTATTTTATTTTATTTTATTTTATTTATAAAATTTTATTTTATTTTATTTTAATTTATTTTATTTTATTTTATTTTATTTTATTTTATTTTATTTTATTTTATTTTATTTTATTTTATTTTATTTTAAAGCCCACAACTTGAAGACGGTATATATAAAATAAAATAAAATTCACACCATACAATACATTAGATTTTGACAAGGAGATTGAAACTGCTTAACACACCAACCTGTGTTGAATTATGTTATCAGAAATTTTACTTTTATTTTTGAAAATTAATTTACATTTGTAATTTCACTTGATGAATTTAAAATTGCATTTTCACTTTAGTTTCGAAAATAAATTTTTTACTTTGATTTTTAAAATGGTTCTAATTTGTTCGTCCTTTGCTCCTTGACCTTTAACCCTTCATTTTAACTGTATTGAAGTGACAACTTGTCATTGATTGTCAGAGCAGTTAGGGTCAAGGGTTAAAGGTTAATTTGTTTTGGTAAATTCATTTTTAAAATTGAATGTAAATCTATTTTAAAATATATAGTAAGTTTTCAAATGTAAATCAGTTTCAGAGTAAAGTGAAATTGCAAATATAAAAATTGAGTTTTATGTCGAAAAATGCAATTCAAAATAAAATGAATAATGTGTTAAATACGCAAAAAATAAATAAATAAATAAATAAATAAATACAAAAAAACGTGACACTTTTCAAAAAGCATGGCCATGACCCTCTGTTGCCTTATCGATCAATTAATATATGCCCCATGCAGCTTTATTTCTATTTTTATATTGTAAAATTGTGAATTTGACCAAAACATGTTGACACCAGAGCAACCCAGCATTAGCAAGGTCCACTAAATATTACTATCGAAATTGACAGCGTTCTATGTCCAGGGACTAATACATACATTTTATTTTATTATGTTTTCACTATGTCTTCATTTGTATTTTTCGTCTTGCCATTCTGTATG